CCCCCCCCACCACCACCACCACCACCACCACCACCACCACCACCACCACCACCACCAAAACATGGACAAACATAAGCAGTGTTTTCGTTTTCCACAACATCTCGACGTCTAGCTTTACCATTAGACTTCACGCTCCGGAAAATTAAAAAGCAAGAAAATGCGCAAATGCTATGAGCTTTTAATGAAAAATGGGCCTGAATTTGTGTGTGGCCGGAATTCCTACGCAGACACACACGCTCACATTTGAAGAACACAACCGTGCACACAAAATTGGGTGCGAAATGGCACACAAGAAACCACAAACCTCCGGAGGGTGTCATTTGCACAACGGGAGAGAGAGCGAGAAGAAACAAGCTGCTTGTTTATAAACAGCGGTTTGCCGGTTTCCATGCAGCCAGGCTGTGCCATTTCCGTGCCGGCAGGGTTTCAACAGATTGGTGAAAATGTGAACGGTGTGCGCTGATCCGAAACTGGCAGGCCACCCTGGGATATAATATTGCGGTTCTAACCCAAAGATATTCACGAACTGCGCAATACTTGTGACTGTTTTTGAAGGCATTCAGCTAATGTAGTTAAGTATCATTTTGGCATGGTTTAAGGTTGACACGATTAGATTATGTTGGAAAAACATTCGACGCGCACAAATGTCATTGGTTTGTAGTGAATCGTGTTGATTCACGTCCAATAACCCTGTCCTCGCAGCTTTCAGCACACCTCCCCCCTTGTCACGTGAGACCGCTGGTTCATCACCCCGCTGAATGTACCATCACCACCACCACTTCCCGCATTGGTCAAGTGTCCTCACAAACGCCTGGTCATATTTACATGTCCACTCAACTGTAAAACGACACAACGTGGTTGAGCGTTCTAGTAAACGGTCGTGCCTACCATCTCTGGACTTATTGTCTTTCTGGGTTAGCCTCGCGGTAAAAGGTCCTCAACAGGTTATTTGGGTATATGTGATAAGTCAGTCATAAAGACAGAAAACAATTTTTGTATACCAACGAGCCTCTGATATACAGACTTTTAAGGAACCTTGTTAGGAAAATTTATAATCTTTTTGATAAACGGAATCAGGGTCATGTAAACAAAATATGCATGCAATAATGGTATTACACAATTTTAGTCAATGCAAAATTTTAATCTATTTGGAAAGACCCAGAGAATTAAGTTAGACGAGAATTGCGGTAAAATTCACAACCACAATCAATGTAATGAGGGTTAAAACGTGTGAATTCAGGTGTGTATGCACTGTGCAATAGCCGATAAATCGTTTTCAGCCAATGAATTTGCAGCATCAAGCATTACGATTGGTGGAAGCCTGAGAACATAATCGATAATAGGACAGTTCCTCAAGTTAAGATTGGTTAGGTTATGTATTCACAAGACGATGAAAGTGTTCATCGAAATGGCAGAAGTGGGATCGACTGGAATGAAAAATTGGCTTTTTTTCACGTCAAATGGTCCAGAAAGGCGATGTACGTCAGCCCGGAACGGTCTGACATTCAGAAACAAACGTTTAATCACCACATCACGTGCTTTTGTCTATTGGCCACAAACTAGGTGAATTTATACCAGATTGAGTGAATTGGACGAACCGATTGTCCCGAATATCTCTTGCGATGCATCAACGAATTCCTGAACGATGCCACGTCCGTGAATTCTGTTGGAGGAGAGATTTACGAAATGACCCGTAGTGCCAGACCAAGATCTTACTGCAATTGATTAAATGTCTGGCCACCTCCATTGCAAAAATCATCTATTTCTTGGACGTTGGTTAAGCTATTCACGAGAATTTGAACTACTCTCGGCTGACGCTGAACGGAAAACCGGCGAACGAACACACACGAGTACGAAGGAGGCAGGCATGTTTGCGCGTGTTCGCACACACACACGTAGCAGGACCGCACACGTTTTCACTGGCTTGAGAAAATTTCACATGACCCTGTGAGCAACTACAAACAGATGTCTCAAGGTGAGCCGACATACCCATGCCGTCGCCACTAGGGCACAGAGAAACCGGATATCGCGAGTGGCCTGATTAGCGACGAGGTGGGTTGGCCAGCAAACGGACTCCCTCCTGGAGATCAGGATTCTAAAGGCTCTACCCTGAGAACGACGCGTTTGCTAATTACGAACGTGAAGTAAAGGGCGTTCGTTGGTTCATGACTGGGCTTATTGTTTATGCGACCTGGGCTTCATGACGAGGACAAAGTCGTGATCTTCACAAGAAGCCTAACAACGTGCCAACCTACATCTTGTCGTGTCGCTTCCACAATCTTACCACCGTGCTAGTTAAAAGCCCACTAGAACAAAAGATACCGGTGACAACAGATTGGACCAATGATTAAAGACCTTGCAAATCAGACCCGCGGTACAAAAAATCAATAATTCCGTGCCTGAGCGTCGCTCAAAAGCGCGAGCACATAGCCCTGGATTTTCTGGCGTGGCAATCGATCGACAGCATGCAGTCGCGTACCTGGATTTACCACGTCAGATCATCCAGACAATTTACTACAACATTAACCAGGCGCGTCAACGGGAATGTGCAAACAAGCCGACGTGGTTAAGGCGCAGATTTTCTTTTCTGCAATTTGCAAGGATTTTTTCAGGTACATGGTGCGTCAGACACGACTATAACCATTCAAAGGCACTTGTGTTGTTAACTGACGATGAACTACGAACGCTCCGTTAGTTTATTTAAATAAATATGCGCGGGAATAAACAGGGGATCATTCACACGTGGGCACTTACAGCTAAACGGGTCGCATTGTGTGTGAATCAGGTCAGCCGCGGACACTTTCTGTGACGTTGCGTGTTTTCTTAAAGGCACGCTCTACTTCGACTATGGATTTGTGTTACATTTCCTGGAAATAACGGTTCGATGTTCTGCCGGCATGGCCCAAGCCATAAAACTAGCGAAATGCATACGATAAAGCAAGACGTCTTAGGTCAAATGGAGAGTGCAATTTTTTTCCAAGTGACAACAAAGGTAGCTATAGTAAAACTGCGCTACAATGTGTAGGTAATTGAAGACTTATTATAATCGATCGCTGATGCAGTTTGTTTAAGTGGATCAACGAATAATATGCCGCGGCAATGAAGGTCGAAAGTAGTGTACTTTAATATAAAATGACACTGGCGCATTATGGCAGAGGTATAACACCCAATCGGCTAACAAACCTTCAACAACTAACACCTTGGCAGAGCAATAAAATCAAAACAAGATAGCAGCTTTTCATAGGCTTGCACTTTTAGGTTAAGGTACAATGGAAATAGGTATTGAGACCCTGATTTCTGCATTTCGCTTACCCGAAACGCGAAAACGCCTAACGTGCAGAATTCTTATTGCATTTTGTGAGATTTGCCATTCTGTCTAATCAGCACAGACAGCTGTCAATAGTTGAATGACATCGACTTGCACTCACCTGTGGCCCTTTCTGATTGGTCTGATTCACGATAGCGGTGCGACGAGTCATTGGTCAGTCTCATGTCAACCTTTTTTTATCTGAGTGGGAATGTGAGGATGTCGATAAAGCGTAATGATTGGATGTGTCAAGGTGAAAAAATGATGTCAAAATCCAGAATGTTATCGTCATCCCGTGGTCCTAGTTACGGTGAGGGTTGCTTCAAATCGAATTAGTTGTATCAAGGAGGGATTGATGCCGGCTACACCTTGTTTTATCTGCCAAACGTTGCGGATAACTGCGCGGTCATCAGCCACCTGCGCAGCAAGAGTTCGAGTCCAATCTGAACCAATCTTTTAGGCTTCCCATCACTAGCCTCCCCTCGTTGTTTGCGCTCGTGCCCCCATATTTTCTTGAACTCGAAGAAGGAGTCACGGAATTGCACAAGAACCCCACGCCACGAGCACACGGACTCACGTCGTTCTCGACTCTTCGGCCCAAATAGTACAAATGAACCTTGAAAGAATACATGTTGCATATTTGTACAGAAATTAAATGCATAATAGCTGTTTGTCAGTGCCATAATTTAAAAAGTTACAGTTTGGAATCAGCGTCAGCCGATGTGTGGGCCTCGTACACAAGCGAAGCATTGAATAAGTGCTAGATGAATGTAGAGTGCCAGGAGTGGAGCTAGCTGAGTTGTGTAGCAAAGCGAAGATTTGTTGATTCCTAGTTGGGCGAGGGGGGATGAAGTGGTATAAAAAATATAATAAACACGCCTACATGCTGTTATTAATATAACCCCACTCAATTGCGCGCACGCACGCACACACCCAGGAAAAGAGTGTGCTTTTTGACTAACAGGAAACCGACCTGAGCCGGCACGATAACGCGTGAACAGCGAAAAGGGGATTCACGCGGGTGCAGACGCTGAGTTAGTGGGGTTGGGAGGGTGGCAGGAGGGAGGAGAAGGGGTGCTTAAATTAGTCGAAAACAAAAACGAAGCTGCGAATCAGGTGAGAATAAAGGATGTGGGCTGTCGTCTGCACGTGCAAGCTCGTTGAGGCATGCTGACCATTCTGAAGGTGCCTTGGCAGTCGTAGGTGTTGAGGGCCCTCCAGCGAGAGATGATGCCGGGGTAACCCGTGCCCGGGCATCGATTTCCTAGGTCTGCACGCATGTACTTGGGGTAGCAGACTGCACAGATTTGCTGGCCTGGACGCATCAGGGTGGACGAGAGCCACGGATGGTCGACGTCGAGATTCCTATCGAAGTAGTGCTGCAAACTGCGACTCGGAAATCGCCATGCTCCTCTGCGATGCAGACCAATGCCCTTGCAGGCGTCATTTGCCTTGACAATTTCGTAGTAAACACAGTATCTAAATGATAAAGACGCAAGCTTATAGTGCACATTAAAAGCTAACCCCAAACGTCGCCCCGAATAACCAAACTGTCTCGTGATCACTGAAATCAACTAATGAGGATCAAGTGCTTGAATGTTAAGTTTTCATTCCATGTGTAGCGGAATGACGAAGTACCTGATGGCGACCTTCACTAGGGGTCTGATCGGAAGCATAATGAGTGAAAATAGTTACAGTTGAGCAAAAAGTTGGCCCTTGAACTTGGGCACGTGATTGGAGCTTCGATCTACTTTCTTGCTCGGCTTATTCCTTTATACTAGCAGAAGAACACGGTCTGTAGTCAATCGGCCTGCGCATTCCAAAATCCAGGTGTTTCCGTCACAAATGCACCCACCTTCGCCTGTACAAACACGCATGTCCTGGCCAAATTAATTGCGTAGTTCTGCATGATCATGCCCACTTGCTTATCTTACCTTCTGGATCTGTTCCATCCCAAGGCACTTTGATCGGACTTTCCAGGTGGTAAAATTCCATCTAAGCTTCTTGGTGTGGCGCTCAGTTGCTCTAAAACCTCTGTCTGAACACTTATAAATAAACCTGGCTTAACAGATTGTTTGTTTGGTTGATTGTTTTACTGCTTGCCGAGCGGTCATTTGAATTTCGAATTCCTAGGCCGAAAGTGTTCCATGCCAGATAAGCTGTTGCTATTCACACGAAATGTGACAAGAGATTCCCACCGTAAAAATTACAAACTGGCCGTAATCTCCATCCATTGATTAATTTTCACATTTGTTTGAAGCCCAAGCAGTGTAGATTTAGTCTTCCCCAAGCGAAAACACCCAAATTTCATTTAATTTTTAAGTTATAAAATTTGATTTTAGTAAAACATGAGCAATGGAAGTAGACAATTATGTTGCCCGGTATTCCCCCGAACCTGGAAACAGCCTCAATTTCTGCTGTCCCTAAACTCTTGCGTCATTAGAATTAAGCTCTGAAATCTTTTAACCAATGCAATGCTTACGGCTCTGGGTCGGGCGTGTCTGTTTTGTTCTGTTGAATGAGTCGTCCGTAGTAGAGTTTTCGACGAATGTCCCAACGCATGTCGAATTGTTTTATTGCCTCCTCGATGTCACCGTGGACTGGAAGGAGATGGGCTACTTCTACAACAGAACACACAGGAAATTTTCACCTCTGGTGAGACGAACTCGGCACTTGTTAAAAATTTTACAAATATTCACGGTATCAAGGGTGTTTCTGCTAAAAGCATGACTCACTTAACACTTTACCGGGTTAGGAACGGCAAGGAGTGTGCTTCGTGTTGCTATTGGCTCACATATTCCTGCATTATTCCTAATTGCGGAATGCATTCTCGACCGTACGTAAGCAAACATGTCGCGTTATTCTCAAAGCATGTTTAATACAAAAACGTGGGAGGCCTAAATTTGTTTCTAAATTGTGGAGTGTGTATATAGGGATTCTCTCACTTGCAACTGACCAATTGGAAAAGCCGAATGCGTTATACATGCTCTGTTTTACCTTTCCAATTTTGACCAACTTTAGATTACGCTCGCATTGAATTTTGGGCAATATGTACGTTCGGCAACATTACCTGGTTCAGATTCATACTTTTCGTGTGAAATTTCGTAGCGAAGAAACTCGACACCTTAGAGACCAATCAACACCCTTGTCAAATGGATCAGTTAGTGTGCATTTTGCAGATTGATTTAATCTGCATTCTGCAAGCCACGATTTCTTGAACAAGAAGACTACTGATGCCTCTTACCCGCGGGTAGTTCCATGTAGCGATAAGAATTGTATTCAGATCGACCGACGCGTCGGCGACTGCAGAGGTGGCCCTTGCAAGCCCGTGACTCCATCAGGAGGGGACACTGGTCTCCCCCGTTCACCGCCTCCCGCGTCACCGTTCGAACCCGCGTCTGGTTGCCTTTTCCACACTGCTGGCTGCATGGAGACCATGAACTCCACGCGCTCACTTCACAATTGACTTCTGAAACAGTGCAAAAAGCAGAACTTATATCGACTCAGTTGGTTGGGAAACCCCAAACTGTTTTGCCACCACCACACATGTAAAGGTCATATCAACCGTGTGTCTAGTGTTTAGTAGCAAACTGTTCAGACAAATTGTTTTGTTACAATAATCGAAAGAAATGCGAGAGTGAATTAGCTTCTCGCGCCCCCTGCATTTAGAAGACATCGTGCTAAAAATTAAAAAGTGACACTATTAGAATTTGCATATGGTAAACGGTTGGCATTAGACTCTAGGTGTCGATCATCTGGTCTTCACCCAACGATAAACAAAAGAAACGCGGAAAATGACTGTACTGACAACAAATTTGCAGCCACTTGACTATGACTCCACTTCCCGTGTTCCAGTCAATCATCTTTCAGTGTGGGGGCCTAGTTTACTATTCAAGTGAGCTTGAAACTAGTGAAAGAATGCACCATGGAAGATGAGGTGGACTTACTTGGCTTGGCGCAGACCTCCCTATAGTCCCGACAGCAGTCATTGGTCCGTACACAGTACTCGTCGCAGAAGCACGTAGCCTTCGGCACCGTCGCAGGTCTGTTATTTGCAGTCCGGTAACCACTGTTACTGTAGACGTACGTGGCATGGGCTTTTTTCGTGACGCCTTCACAATTTGTGCGCCCTGTGCAACAGATGGCGGTTCCGTCAGGGTTGCGGCAGGATCCGTGTGTCAATGCAGAAGCGAGTGACGAGCATGCCAAAAGTACCACAAAACACGCTAACAATCTGCTGTCCACCATTTCGGAGGCTACAACGTTGAGGAAGGTGCTCTTTCCCTAGATGAGGTCGTGGGTGAGTGGTTTGGCGTTGGTGACCTGTTTTACGCATTTTATACAGGAGTAAGGTTTATGTGTAATCGGACGTTGATTGGCTGTGTGCTGGTGCGTGACTTGCAGCAGAAAAATCTGCTGGCCAATAGGTGAGAGCCGGTGGCGATGCGCGTGCGAGGCCCAGAAGGCACTGAGGGTAGCACAATTGCAATTCCTTATGACCACTTCTTAAATATCAACTTTGATCTCTTGTGTGCGTATTATCAATTATCATCCTTATCTAGTCTATCGGTTTTTTGCTACATTGATTAATAATCGATCGAAGTTCGAAGTTGCGACCTTTGGTCTAACCAATAGCATCAGAGCAGGTACATCAAGGTGAAAAGAATGAAATGTTGCAAGGGAAGAGGTTAAAAGAAGTCGGTTGTAATAGCAAGTACAGTGTCTAGGAGGGAGATTGGGAAAGGAATGAAGCGAAAACGTTTTCGTTTAACGCTCATTACTTTGGTGTTAATAAGCTGCAATGTATTCCTCTCATGGTTCTTACTTGACAGTAGCTTGCAAAAGATGCTGGAATCGTGTAGGCCCAAGCCATTTCACGTTTGCTACTAAAACGTGGCCTGGCCAAGTAAAGAACTTGATTTGGCTAGCTAGCCGGTTTTTGCTACCCTCTGGCCGGGTAGCTGCCGGACAAAGTACCGATTGTGGAAATTATTCTCACCTTTGCCCTTTCTATTTGTGCAAAACGTTGGCCTGGATTGAGACGTTGCCATTTCGGGTGCAGAAAGTGCGTGCACAGTTGGATCACTTCCGTGCAACCTGCCCTATGGATTTACTCCAGTCGTAGACCGTTCAGAGGTAGATATGACATGGTTAGTTTGCGGTATTGCGACAATCTTATTAATTAGCATATGGTAAAGTGAGTTAATTGACGTCCATAATCTCTGTCGCCGTACGTCCAGGCGCCTTGGTTATTTCGCTCCTTCCAATAACCGTCTCGGGGTCCACATTGCTCTCTCTGATACGCACGAACATGCATCCTTCTGTGCGTCAGTGACCTTGAATGAGTTCACACAAGCGGGTCGAGCCTCTGGTACCGCCAGTCGTCGCGGTTACTTATACGTGAGTTGGAGACCCACCCCAGACACGGCTTCCGCCTTCTGTAGTGCAACACGACTAGCTGTCATTGAACCGGACAATTGTGGGTCTAATTCAAACACACGAAATAAGTCGGGCTGGGTGAGGCCACTAACGAGGCCTGAAAGTACTCATCAGATTGTGGCCAGAAATCAAAGGTGTCCACTTTGTCCAAATAAGAAAGTGCTCAACCAATCGTGTCCTTTCAAGCGCGAGGTGTAACAATGTGTCTCACGTAATCTAGGGCCTGGATGGCTAGCTTTAGTAACTGCATCGATGGGGCCGGTCAGTTAAAAAACAAACCATCTTCGATATTGCTTTTGGTCTTTTTTCATTACTCCGGATAGTCAAGCATCGCGAGACAGTTAAAAAAGTCAAATTTCATAGCTCAAATTATCGCTAATTTGATACTCTTTTTAAGGACAGTGAATCATTTCATAGAGGCAATTATCGTGAAGGCATGTTTTTAATTTACTGCAGTTTCGCAATTCTTGAATAACGCCAAGCTCGGAAGGGTCAGGTTCTAGTGTTTAAATTGAACAACAGATGTGGGCTTTAACGAAATGCAAGATGCATGATATGGTTGTTAATCGATAAAACTAGTCTCTACGACGGGGTTCGAACCAGGCCTCTTTAGTTCATGGAAGGCCGATCCCATTTATGATATTGCGCATAATAGTAACGTCTCAATTAATGTTGAATAGGCAGACGGAGAACGAAGGAACGAGATCATGTATTAATCCTTGCTTCAACCACACAATGTGTACCTATTAGAGCCATAGTTAACCTTCCCGTTAAGGTGAAAAAGATCGGGAAATTCCATGGCCTTCAGTGGCCTGCCACCTTCAACAGTCTGGCTTTTTTAGCCCCTATCTCTGTAGTGGCCATCATTTTCACTGACAAAACTGGCATTTACTGTAGCCATTTCCACCGCCTCTTCACATGATCAAAAACCCACAAATTGAATTCCCCGCGCTGAACATCTCCTTGCTCTGACGTCACGTTAAATTAATTAATAAACGTCACCTAAATGCCCAGCCTCGTGGTTTATTACGCCCACCAACAAATTCGGTAAGTAGAGTGCACTTGCAAATTCTTTCACCCTTAAATGTTACACACCGGATCCTGCAGGATATATGCGCACTACGACTGCAATTTTATGTTCATATACTCCATCTGGCGATTGCGTTCATTAACTGAACACGGAATTCCGTGTAAACCAGCTAGCAACCAACTGTGCTGTAGTCGGACGCGATGCGTTTCAGCTTCGATTATTCGATGCTACCCTTGACGAATTAACGGTGTGTCGACCCTCGTCGTATTGGTATTAAAATATCCTGTGTGTTCTCATAGTAAACGACTAATGGGGTTGTGAAATCGCCTTAATGTAATTGCTGCAGACGGAAGATTCTAACTGAATACCAGTGAGTTTGCCAGCTTCCCGTCCAATTGGTTCTGGTTTTTGGAACTAGTCGGTGTATTTCCAGGAAGGAAAAAGAGATTAATCAGTCTTAAATGCCACTCCGATGTAACATTTGGGGTTGTAGACGGAAAACACCAGTTCACAAGAGTACTAAGGACATTCCATCAACAGCGTCAACAATAACAAATTTCAAAAACCGGCGGTGGATACCAGGTCTGGAAGCCAATAATAATAAATACACAGCCCTTGAGGCTTTGTGCGCTTCTAACATAAGTATTCCCTCTTAATCCTTGCTTGGAATATTTGCTCTTTAATCGCATCTGTTAGCTTGCACAGCGTAAGTGATGGCAAAACACTTGATGAAACAATGAAAGGAAGCAAAATTTTAATTACCCTTTGAATCCATGTGATCTGTTCCTGTCTTAAAGATCAGTTTTAGAGTGCCTAAAATGTGCCTTTTATTCATCTGTAAAACAGAAGGGGTAGTTATGATTTGAGTAGTATATTTCTCGTGTTGACGACCTCCTCATAAGGGTGAGTTGTACTCAAATGACTCGTGAATGAATTCCATAGAATTCCATTTACACAGTTTACGATGCCTCGATTTCCTTGTTCAACCGAACAAACCTAAGACCAAGTCCCAACTAAGAACACAAATCCTCAAGGCAACTTAGTAAACCAATTTGAAATGGCGCACTTCTAGTTAGCCAGTGTAGTAAAACAACGAAATCAGCACAAACAGCTGGATGAATTTTACATTAGATTGCGTTCTTCCGCGAAACACTTGAAAATGAAGAGAGGCAGGAAAGATAACATGGTGTTGTCTTATTCGGTGGTTTTCGGAAAATAACATTCACTAGCGGCTTTGTGTCAATATGTCAAAATAGGATAAAAGGTGGATGTTGTGAAAAACAATCCAGAAAACGTGGGAACTTCCTTGGATCATTGCGTGGTCGGCTTGGACGTTGTGCAGAGGCTTTTGTATGTCATGGTTTTACCTCATGTACACAGAACTGACCGGCTGGCAGACCACTGACTCACAAGAAGACCGGTTAACAAGCTCTTCAGATGCTGTGTAGCTGCTGAAACAATTCAGACAGGCTGAACCCAAGTTGATGCTTTCATGCTACTTCATCGGTGGCTGTTTTTGAAGCCCGGTCTGGGGTTCGAGCCCAGGACCCCGTATTCTACAAGTTGGGCCACTTGGTGTTCCAGACGCAATTATTCTACCGAATCTTCCAGATGACCCAAAGCATTATTTCAACATGGCTGTATCTGGAAGTCCCAATTGAGACGACAACTTCTTCTTTGGCCAATAAAGCGACACCTTTTTGCCGTCATTCTGGAAAAAACCACGTTGTTCGGACGTTGCCGCGTTTTCCACCTCTGCGCATTTTCGCGCAGACACAGTATTCCCGAATTCCTTTTAACAGTCGCTAGATCCTGTGTGTTCAGCTGAACCAATACCAGTTGATATAGCACTCCCTCAGTTAACTTCCAGCAGTCATTAACGAATGCCGCAACATGAAGTGCAATTGTGCCTGGTGGGTGAGGAAATGGCTCTTTGATCACATCGATGTACTTTTTAACTGTCATAGCCCAGTATTTTCACCCTGAAATGACAAATAAATGGATTTTATTGATGCAGGAAGTGCGGACCCCAGTCCAAAGTCTATACCTCGACGTTTAATTCAAATTCAGTTACGGTATTAATCAAAACAATGCAACAGATTTCTGATTTGATGAATCTTTGATGAAACCCACTCTGCTTGGTCGAAACTGCCTCCAAATGACGTCGCCACTCGGAATTGAAGCTGGCAAGACCGCGTCACCGCTGGCAATGAGATGGTGGAGGTCGGTGACATTCAACTGACATCATTAACCCCAGTCGCTGGTGAGATGCCACCCAATGAGGGCGGGTTTTTCCAATCACCTCCCACCGAACGCGTCATGAGTCACTCGGGGTTCTGGTCACTAAGCGTGTCGAAATGCCACGTCCAACTACCGGCCATAGTGACAACGACCTTGTGTGATTCCTGTCAAGACGTCTGACAAGAAATCGAGGAGCTTGGGAAAGTGTTTCCTGTCTTACCTATGACGAAGTGTCAGGTCGGGTGATTCGAGTTTGTCTCAGATTTGTCAAACTTCCATGGAAAAGCAATCAATATGGTCTTGTGCTGTGGTAGTTTCAGCAATAGGTGGATGCTGATGGCCAGAATTCAGACGAAACGAGCGAAGTGAAAGGCCCGGTATGTGGTCTCAAACTGGCCAGACTAGACAGTTTATTACGGGGTTCAAGCTATGCATGAAAAGTCGTGTCTAACTAATGAGACTTGTTGATTAATTCTATCTGGGTGAACTAGTGGGAATGCGAACGGCTGATTGGGTGGAGGAGTGGACCAAATACCAA